TAAGCAAGTTTTTAAAACAAACAAATAAATAAAAACTAAATTTCACAGTCCATTAAATACTGAAATTGCGAAACGAAATATTTTGTAATACATCTGTTTTCCTTTTAGTTTTAAAATTCTCGACTTTTATATCTGCCAATTACAAAAGTAATATGGCGTAACAAATAAGACATTTATTGATAATAGGAGTAAAATGATATATATCATTAAATAGAAGCGTTGAAGGCAGTTGTATTTGTCAATCTCGAACTAGACCTTTAAGCATTTAACCTATGACCTTACATTCATCAATCTAGTTTATAGGAGCCGAGTTTTTTATGTTCTGCACCTCCTTAAAGTTAATTGACCCGAAGCTTGCTACTTATTTATCTTCCTGCAGCCATAAATAATACAGATATCTTTTCTAATAAAACAAGTGAATTATGTAGCGTTAGACGTCTAGAATTGTTCTTGATATTTCTTAATTTACTATCAAAACAAATGTATTGGAATCAATTTTTAACGTTAAATTTTTTTGACATTAACTTTCACAACTACAAATAATCAATTCTTAAAAATATTTTATTTGAATCCTTAACATTCCATATCTATTATGTCCATTCATGCCGTGACTTTTCATTGATTTATGAAAATGTTTTTTGGAAAGAAAGGTTACTTTTTGTGTTTTACAATTGTAAAGCAAACAGACCAATGAATCGAGAAAAATTCCAGCACTCGTTCAGTCTTATATTTGCGTCAGTCAACTGAGTTGAAACTCTGTTTGTCAAATGGAATTTCGCTAATTACTTTTACAATATAAGTATTTAAATACAGATTTGTTTCACCAGCCAATTTGTAAATGCATTGGTTATGACATCAGCGTATCTGAAATCTCGCGAGAATATTCGTGTGTATTTGACATGTTGAATCAGGTGATGTCATACTGAACTGTAACAGAAGGAAAATAAACAGCACGTGACAACCGAGGCACCACAGGAAAACCTATTAGACACACGTGATTAGAATTCCCTCGGTTAATTATTACGTCACATACATCTCACTACAGAGATTGATAATCCCAACTGCTGAAATACCACTATATTCAGGGAATCGATCACTTATCTGTCAGTTCTTTCCAAGATCGTCTACAGGAGAAGGGTCGTGCTACAACAAACAGCAAGAACTTAAGCAACAGCCAATAGCTTTATTAATATTCTATTCTTTACCAAAATAATGTCTTTAGGAAAATTGTACATGAAATCCTTTTATTTGGTCTCCTTGGACTGCTTTGTGCGATGCATAATTTGCACAGATGAAGCTTCCAAATGGAATACAACACGTCGTCTGAATTAGGCACATAGAGAGCCTACTCATTATTACGCAAGTTCGTTTAAAAAAGTTTTACTTTCACACGGGGATATTGCATTTAGGCATCGACGAAATAAAGTTATTAGTTTAGAAAGGTCATAAATCATTTTTAAGTGTTAGTTAGCCCACCATGTTGCAATATTGACAGTAATGTTAACACTATTATTGGTGAACACCATCTGTACATAACACCCGATAACACTCCATAATACATCAGTAATATACATTATCATATTGACTGTATCACTTAGTGTTTATATAAAAATCAGGCAAGCACATCGTTAGCACCACTTTTCAACAGACATTAGCGGAGTTTTGATGCAGGTGCTCTACCCGACTTTGGTAATATGATTTTAACGTGGTACCAGCCTGGAAGTCTCTTGAAATATATAGCTTCATAATGGTATTAATAGAATTTACATCTCATATTTATGGAATAATAGAGTGACATTAAGAACGAACATGTTGTGATGAACGATTCTAGGGCTCAAAATTTTCTGTGACAGACAGAGTTTGGCAAGTTAATTGATGCCCCTGTCTGTCCAGATGTGTGAGAAGGGTTGTTTTTAATATTTGTTATTTTTTCACACGGGAATCTGTCAATATGCATGTTTGCATCTTGTTTAACGAATATTAAAATAAACAATGAATGCAGGGGGTATTTTCAGTTGATATAATTCTCGCAATCAGCCATTACATTTGTGGCCTTTTTTTAAAAACATAATTTTATGATTTATACTTTAAACCAAATTATAGTTCAATAGTCTGGTAATGTCCATGAAAGAATATTTTAAAATATATTGTTTGGTTTAAAAAAAACATGACGAGGCGTTTAGAAAAAACATGACGAGGCGTTTAGAAAAAACATGACGAGGCGTTTAGAAAAAACATGACGAGGCGTTTAGAAAAAACATGACGAGGCGCAACTGTATTTTCTGAAGATAAATAAATAACCCAAATACGATCCGAAATCCAAAGCGACTTGGCCTATTAGCGAAACATGTGGTATGTGTCTAGCACCTAATAAATGTAAATAAATGCCAATTGAGGTGCATATTGATAATTCTATATGATATGGTCATATTTCTCAATGCATGTGACATCATATCGTCACCAGAACAATGAATGGTTTCAGTCCAGAAGTACACTTCTTAGAAAGGTATTTGATGGTTCATGATTCAGGGTTACCTCCCTTGACAAGTAAATTAAACTTAAAGGTATTACCTCCCTTGACAAGTAAATTAAACTTAAAGGTATTACCTCCCTTGACAAGTAAATTAAACTTAAAGGTATTACCTCCCAAGAATCTTAATTGATCGATGTGCGGCTTGATTTAAAGATTAAAGGAAAATCAATTAAAGACATGAACAAAACAAACGAACATGCTGGTTCTGTAATTTATAATTGTATGATTGGCATCCTGTCGAGCAATAAATCGACGAGTTTCAGCCTTGACCTGTTGTAAAATCTAGATTCAGGGTTACCTCCCCTTACAAGTAATTTTTTTTTAATTATTACCTCCCTTGAACCTAAATCGATTCTACATCGATTTCGTCTCGAGTCAGAAAAGGAAATCAGATATAGTCATGGAAAAAAAAAACAAACAGATCAATTTCTACCAGATTATAGAACTGATTTCATGTCAGGTGAAATTATAGGACTTGGATCAATGATAGACAAACAAATCCTATTGATTTCACATTACGTAAGATAAATTTTTAATTGTAAACATTGCTAACTTACGGTTGCCATTATGTCAATTTTACAAAGCAACCTTACACCATATTCATCATATAGAGGTGTGTTTGCAAATCAGAAAAAATTATACAACAAATTATCAAACATAATATAGACGTTGTCTGACTTAAAAAAAGAAGATACTTTTATACCCTAGATCGATATGACCAAGCCAATCGACCACTCCACAAATACAAAACAAAATTCTTCATATAGTACGGAAATGTTTTATTAATAAGAAGATATGATTGGTTTAGATGCATGCGAATTTCGTCAGACTTGCCTAGGACCGATCGATTTCCAGTGGCCCAACTACTATAAAGACTGGTTGAACAAAATCCCCTGGCCCCCATCCTTGAGGGGGCCCCACCTTAAATGTTAACACATAATATAAAAAGGTTCACAACGTATGCTGTGACCCTAAGAAGGCTAATATAATGTACTACAGACTGAAAATCTTTAAATCTCCCATTAACAGGCATTAATTTGACTTACAGAGGGGTCTGAAAATGCAGGAAAACATGGGGGAGGAACCTCAACCCATTCAACTTGTTGAGCCACTGTCGGTTTCTACCTCAATTACATGATAGTTAAGTTGTTGTACAGACGGTGTATGTAGCAGATAACGAGTTAATGATTCTATAATTACTGGTTCTTTGATAAATTTTATCTTTCATCTTGAACATGGCGTTAAATTAGTTACAGAGATTTCCTAACGGTTAACAAGCTAGATTATACTGATTATCTATGATAACTTGATTAAATCGAGATAGCTGCCATTTCAATCTTGAGATGTCTTGTACGGTTCCTCATTCAAATCAAGGGTGTAGGCGCTAAGAATTTCGTATTGAGCCTTGTATTTGTCGTGTACGGATGAATTCGAACGAACGTTCTGTGGTTATATATTTAAAATTTGCATATTTATGGCCAATGATATTGATAATATAAATGAGCAAACGCCATTGATTATATATTTTGTACCATGTATTTTGAAAATATTGATATGATTATGTAGATATTTGTCTATATTTTAATTATGTGTCTTGGGAATAACACCGATAGTTCTTTTTATTAGCAATATCCAATCGTTGTACTGATAGATATTGCTCATATTTTATATTGCTATAAATGATGACTACATCCTGATTACAATGCCCTATTATGGATATGAATTTGTGAAAGAAAAGTCATTTTCGAAACGACGTTTTTCGGGATGGAGACATAAAGCAATTAAAGTACATATTTTAAAAGTTACTAATAATTACTAAATATAGTGTATAGCGTATCGAGCGGAACAACCCGCCGTGAGGTTGTAGAGTGAACTTGGTATTTTTTTTTTTTATCAAAGATCAAGTTCTACTTTCACCTGTTGATGTTTCTAGGGAGTTCCGGATAATTAACCAAAACCATCAGCCTTTGGCGTAAAAAGGTTAGTTAACGTGCAATTTTAATTGGAAGCCATGATATATACTGAGTAGATGAACCCAAATGATATACGCTTCGCTCTCTTCTAAAATATAACACACTCTTTACAGTGCTGTGATTCGTCATTCTACAGTGGGAAAGTGACTATTATTGTGGTCAGTTTCTTACAGGAATGACCTATCCAATATTCGTTTAACCTTATTTATGTGTTTGTTTTTTATCAACCGATCAAATACTATCGTATCCTTGAAATAAATTTTATTTTTCTCAGGTTAACAAAGAGTCAATTATATACAGTTGTGTCCCTTTGTATAAATTTCCATCACAACAAAGGTTGCGAGTGATACTCGTTTAAGAAGACCGGTAAGGCCTCATTTTCTTGCTGAAGACTTCACTGCGTTATCCGTTTTTCTTGCTGCAGACTTCACTGCGTTGTACAATTACATAATGGTACAATGCCCAGTAAGCAGTTAAGGAACAAGTAAGACTGTAAACTTTTCATTTTATTTACCTGATAGTCGAGAACTGATACATTTAATCTCCATTAAAAGCACAATTATAATACTAATAATCATAATACTAATAATTTACAATAAAAAAATAATTATAAACCTTTATTAAATCCAGAAAAATAAAATGTAGATTTTCAAAATTTATACAAAGGTTTGTTTATCGCCAATAACCATTTGGGAAGCTTTACCCAAGTTGGCATCCAATTGACTAGCCATTCTGGCACTCCATTGTACGTCAATAGAGCTGGCATCCACAGTTGAGAGGTAATGTGGCGACCTGAAAAATACAATACAAAACATCTGATGGTAACATCTCTTTTGAAGAGTCCACTACTATACAACTTTTACTACACATTTTGGCCATTCATTTGACGAGTTTTTTTCATCAAACGAATTGTCTTGCTTGTACGGATTTTTATTACCACGGCGCATCAAGAAAAAATTTTGAAGCGATAGAGCCATCCATATTTGTCTCGCCATAGTGGAATGGGCTAGCCGTATCACTTTTCAAAATTAAAATCCGACACCATGTCTCCTTCATATCATCAAAATTATATCACGCCAATAAGGACTGGCATCGCTTACAAGACATTAGTGTCACCTTGGTAATAATTGCACGTTTGTGGTAAAACGAAGGGAAGAACAACATAGTTTCATTTGTGATCCATTCTTATAGCTGGTCTTTGGCAAATCAGATTGAATTGTTCTTTACAGGATTATCCCTACCCATTTACAGCTGGGTCGAATGAAATAATGAGGAAATGTCACTTATTCCAAGCCACCAGACTGTCACACGACTATCTTACCGTCAATATCTTTTAAGTCATACTCATCACCAATATCAGCACTAAACAAAACACGACCAGTTTTCTCTAATATACAAGGATCTGAAAGAATACGCATCATGCTACTTTAGGCATATACTGACATTGCCAACGTTGTTGAATTCTAATTCCGTAGCTTTACACTAGACAGAGCTCTCTTCTTTAGGATCATTTATTTTGGCTCTCTGAATTTGAAAGGTATCTGATTTTTTGTAAGAATCAGTTAATAATTGATCTAGCATCGAGAAATTACAAAGAAAAATACATATGTATTAAAGGGGCCCTCACACCATAGCAAGCACCAGTTGCGTATGGTTGCTAATAAGAATATTGGTCAGAAGTTTCAAACGCAAATCTTATGAAACTGAGTTCTGAGCTGCGTCTGGTATATACTCATTATTCGCGACCATACACATCTGGTAATTGCTACGCTGTGAGGGCACTTTTAAGAAATTTTGTTCAGGAAAACGTCAAAAAGGCATTGAAATCATAAAATCCTACTTTTAACCGTGATAACTCATAACTTACCAGATGCTAGAGTAACGATACATTTTCCAGTAAATTCTGTGCTTTCATTCTGTGCAAACAAATCTTCGCTAACGGTCTAAAAGTAGAAAAACCCCAAATAACGTAATCACAGTGTCCATAGTGTCCAAACCAAGCCCCCATTCGCCATACTTCCTCGAGACCGTACAAGTGAGGAAACTTACGTATTCATAGATGAATACTGTCCAATCAGAATTGGGACTGAAATCTTTCTAGAAAATCTCAGCCAATCAAAACAAATCACTCGTTATGACTCTTTGTGTGCGAACGTACACGAAACGAAAGTAGCGTGTCATTAAATGTTTTGATTAATATGGACGTTACAAAATTGAGTAAGATATTTGACTTTGGAATATTTACTTGGAAAGAATGTGTTCTTATCTGATCAAACTGGCGAAGGTAAAACGATGATGTGTTTTCTTTACATGACCTCATTTCTGTTCTACCGATCTGATTGGTCAGATTTGAATAGCATCAATCTCATTTCCATGCCTACAGTGTCACAGACATTTTTGCACAAATGGCCTCACCAGATTAATGGTGTGAATAAGAGTTCAAACTCAGCAGCCATAAAAATGTCTAAATGTGCGATCTTGGAACTATTTTTAGTGTAGTTAATAAAGACCGTTCTCATCAAGCCTTCACTTGGAGCTTTTGAAGTTAAAATCAGACTTTAATGTCGGCTGGTTATGGACAAATGATGGCACTTGGTATGGTGAAATTTCAATGTAAAGGGTGAAGGTAGAAGGTGTGTCATTGTGAAGTAAACTTTTCTCGAAACGCTTGCAATTCGCAAAACCACATCTTCGACGTTGTCCAAGATACGAACGGTTCTCGAAACCAATGCGTGTTTACAGTACACAATTTTCAATCTTCCATCTCGAGAAAAGATATCTAAATTGAGTAATTTACCTTTTCTTGGAATAAATTCTTGCAAACTTCTGTTTTCACTGCACATGGATATATACTTATAAATGAAACGTTATGTGGTTCCAATTCTGGAGCTCCGTCCACTACTATTCTATCTAACTATATAATGAACGTTCAAATTACATTAGCAAAATCAAAATCAAAATCTGACTAAATCATTGGGCAGCAGAGATCAGATAAGAAAAGTCGATCCTCTCTCGCTTTGGAGCTCAAACGGAAGGTATATACTTAATAATAATAATAATAACAATAATAACAGAAAAACAATAATGTTCGTTGCTGATAGCACATGTACACACAAAATAAAATTAGAAACGACGCTGTCCTATAAATAATTCTTCCGTTATTCTTTTGTTGAATAAAATCTTGTAGATTTGAGGATTTTTTTATATAAATATTTAATGCTTACAGCCGTTTTCCCGGCACAATATGGAATGTTGAAGATCTTTGCAATTCCACCAACGGATGAAATATTAAAAATTATCCCTGACTTTCTTTCTACCATCATTCGAGCTGCATACACCGAGCAGAAATAATGATTCCTGAAATTATAGATCACACGAGTAGTTTTTAAGTGACCATGGGAAAAAAATCTCACTTTTTTTCGAAAAAAACTGTTCTATGTTGCTTTGTATAGAAACACAAGTTAAAAGATTTTGATTTTTTTCCTAAAATTGTATTCTAAAAGCCCAATTATTTTTATGTGGGTTTTACTATATTGACACCTATAAATTTTAAGACACTTATAAACACAAGTAAAGGGAAAACCAACCTTAAGCCAACAGAATTCACATCATCCCATAGTTTTGGCTCTAACTTCCAAAAGTCGGTGTAAAGATTATCAAGAGATGTCTATATAGAAAAGAAAACAAAGAAAAATGACATGTTAAAAGGCGACACACCTTCAAATGACCAAATCGAGAATTAGCTTACAAGAAGTCTTCAGGTCATCTTGTTAGTTAGAATTAGTGACTCGAAATTTTCACTCTTTAGCTTAAAAATGCGGCATTGTAACTCGAAAATCAGATTAATTTAGTACCTAATGGCCTCCCTTATTTAAACTGATGATTAAATATCATATTCAAAACTCCTGAAACCAATCTGTAACATTATTGTGAATGGTTTCAGAGCCAAAATGTTGAATGATGCTGCACGAGTACATGAATATTTGTATTTACATACCTTAACTGCACTAAATGCACAATTAACTAAAATATCAAGTGTTCCATCCTGTTCTATTTTGATTTTTTCAAATAATGTTCTGATTTCTTCAGCATTATTGTGGTCACATTGAACTGGAATACATTTACCACCTCGCCTTTCAACCTACAATATATAAGATACTGAAATTAAGAGATGGAAAAAAGCTTCGAAATGGACAGTCCCTCGGCAGTTGTAAATCGAAAAAAGTAGGCAAATGGCGCCGTCCTGGATAATTTTCCTCATGGCTCACTGCATAGCGTTTTCCGTCTTCAGTAGTGCAATAAGGTGCAGAAAACTCTTATTCATTTCATCTTACATTTTACATATTATGAAAGGCATTCTGGGCCATAACGAATCATCCGGAACAGGTCAGCAAAGATAAAGATTTAATGGGTGCAACAGATTTTTAGACATTTAAAATCCTCCAATTCTAACCACTAGTACACAGCTTGTGTCATGACTGGACAATATTTATGCGTATTGGTGATCCTTGGTGATTAAAGCAACTCACTTCTTTAGCTGTTTCTTTCAAACTTCCACCAACTTTATCGTTCGGTGGATTCAATGTTCTACCTAGTAGCAAAATGGAATAAAAAGTAAATAGTATTATTTGTTGAAATGACGTATTCTGAAAGTTTCATGGTTCAGTGCATTGCCAACCGTGATTTGCTCATACAAATTCGCAACATCAAAACGTTCAAAACTTGGCATTTTAAATTTTTGTGGAGCATCACGATCCCATATGTAACCGGGACTGAAAGCTCTTTTCTCTTAAAATATTTAGCAAATGAACTTTTTAACATTGCTAGAGTGCCATGGATCAAATTGAAGCCTAATGAAGATTCAATAAGCGACGAATAAATAAAACAGGTACAAACGTTCCTAACCGCAAAACGAAACCTGAAATCCAAAACAACATGTTGGCGAAAGATTATACAAATTGCTTACCTGTAATATAAACGGTGGCCCCAGCCTCGCCTAACTGTAGAGCTATGCCCTTTCCTAAACCTCGAGTTGCTCCAGTAACAAGACATATTTTACCAGATAAATTCTTCATGATTGCTTTAAAACAAAATCAATACACATACACACATAAATATATATATTTATAATCATCTTATATCTTTGGGTTATAACCTGGATCTATGGATAATGGATTTGATACTTATGAAGTTTTTTGATTTCTACACAAGAGGTTTTGCTGCATAAATTATGAACTATACAAATATCTGAATAGAAAACTTAATACACTTTAACAACCGACTTTAAGGGATCCGCGCAGCTTTAAGAAAAATGGGCTACAAAAAGCCATAACTTCACAATTTTTTAACTAGCTCAAGATATAGACAATTCAATAATTTATTCTGCTATGTACAAACAGATTTTTCTCGGTACTGTTGTTTTATATATATCTATATAAATTACGGTGGTGTGTGCTCAACTCCAGCAACCTTACCTGTTCAAAGTATAGTCCAATGATGAGGAGAATGATATCTGACCAGAACTACAATTCATTTTATAGCTTATTACCATTAATCACTCAATTAAAGTTAATGATCATTAGAAGACATTAGTATAATTTATAAATAATAATTATAATGAAAATTAGTTCATTAAATTCGTGTCACAAATCATTGCAATATTTAAAATATATAAACAGAATATTTACATTTTTGGCCATAATTAGACACGTAACAATACAAAACAGAATAATTACATAAATAAGATCACATTAAAAACGACAAATAAACAAAAAATAAATAAATGTAATTCATGTACATAAATGAAATAAAATCAAATATCTAAATGTACAGTATCTACAGTATATTTTGATGAAAAAATATAAACATAAAAAGTCTTGTGTCAAATATACCATGCACATGGGTAAACCTTTCTATAAAATCATGGAATACATTCGCAAAGTTTAAAACATAAATATCAATCCATCATAACATTAAAATCTAATGCAGGTGGAAATCGTAAAAGAGCAGGCTTATGCCGCTGTCCTGGCAAAATTTCCCTCATCGCTCCTTGCATGGCGTTGCCCGTCTTCATTAGCCCACATGGTGCAGAAAAGTAGGACGTAAAACTGCATTCATTTCATTTCATTTCTTGTCAAAGATGACCAATATTTAACAAGATGAAATAGATGCCAATTCTTATCAATTCTGTACAATTTAAATTTATTTAACTGTTTATTTGCTATGAAACATAATACACGCATGTGTGTTGCATTCAGAACTTATGATGTATGCTCTGTACAGGATAGGGCATGTAAATGTATATTTTGGAACCCATATTTGTGCCATGTTTGTCACTCTTTTCAAAGAGTAATGGTCGTCATTCACAATCCCTTATAAATCAAATATATTGTGTTTTCATAATTCTATAGAAACCATTTGAGTGTTTTTGAAATATTATGTTATCCCTTCTTTTATACTTTTTCCCCTTTTCCTTGTGCTAATATTTGGTAGAATATTTTCAGGGGATTTTTTTCTGGCCGTTGATCGATGGTCGCGCTTATACTGGTGGCTGTTGGCACAAGTTTGACTGTAATGTGTATACATATACAAATAGATGTAGTTAAAAATCTAATATAGTCCTAATTCGTCTAATTGATGTCGTCAGCTTGTAATGCAACTGTCTGGAAAATATTTATGTTAATCGGTGGTCACTTACAGATGAAAACGTTAAGGTCGGCTACTCTATGATACATTCCAAGTAAACCGATTAAAGAACTAGGTGGTGGCTTTCAACCTTAGCTACAGAGTGGCAATGGGGACCCCCTAATTCTGACAACTGACCAATTCCAAAATTGCCCCTCTGATTATATTATTTGCCCCTACGAACAAGCAAGTCTGGCTACGGGTCTGTTTTCAACCTGTTTTGTGTATGTGCCCCCAAATGGTATTTTGCTTGAAAGTGATATTGAAAGTGAAACTTAGTTTGGATATGAGGCATGGTCTCTCTGAGTACTCAGAGACAATGTTAGCTGAGGCCGAGTATAGTGTAGTTATATGATATGTTGTGTATATTGTAGTTGGACACTTTTTTCATAGCCTACAACACAAAGAAAAGTGAAAATGTCCTCACTTTAGCACATGTCCTTGTGGTTGAAACCTACGTTAAGAAGTCTGAGAACTGGCCAGAGATCGGCTCAAAAGTTAATCAAAGTCGATTGATTCACAGAATGGTCATTATACAACCATTTATAAATTTCGTCTGTTCCGTTTTGAGAACTGTTTATTTTCGTAAAGTAAAATAGAAGCAGGTATTATTATTATGGATTTCTTAAAAATATACTGAGATAAATGTATATATTTTAAACCAATTACATTTATGTATAATTATATTTCAGGGCAATTAATTTAATGAAATGATTGGCAACAAGGTCTGTGTTGGAGATATCACACCAAATAACTCAAGAATCACACTTTGATAGAAAACTTTTAATTATATAGAACATGAAAATAATTCATATCGTACTTGAAATTCTGTGAAGGTCTTTAAAATTGTATTAGCAGCAGATAGAAACAATTTTCTCTGTGTTAAATAGAAATTTATTCAACAGGTGACTTACGTAATCACATCACTATACTTGTCTTAATTCCTTCTTACGTCTGATAAACCACAAAATTGTTTTTGCTCTTCGTCAGTTCTTCAAGATCACAAGTATGGTTTGTTTTTGTATTTCAGTAATTTGAGCTCTTATACTTATATACCTTGGGAGTATAATTATTGTTAGCAATCGAAACATGAATTGCTCTAAAGTCAATGGTACAAAACAGAAGAAGATGCTGTTTGATTTAAAAGTCAAATTCCAACCATCCTTCATTATAGTCATGTCTACTGAATACATTTTCTTTTCAAGACCTCAAACCTGAGCTTCCTGGGTGGATTTTAAAAGAAAAACAGACGAGGGGCTCAATTAATGCATAATCTCACAATAAATCTACAGAACATGGAAATACCAGTTGTCCATTTCGACTCAAATCCACGTCCCGAATATCTAAAATAGATGCCCATAAGAACAAAGAACAATTCTTGGTACAATGGCAGTTTTCTGTAGTGAGTGAGGTAAAATCGCCCATTTGGAAATGATCATCGGGTCATTCTTGGCAGTTTCCATGTGTGCTAGCGGAACTTTCTTAAGGGGTCCTCACACCATGGCGACACCAGTTGCGTATTGTCAAGAATAAGAATAACGGTCACTTTCGAGCGCAACTCTCATTCAATTGAGTTGAGTTGCGTTCGGCCACTTTCATTAATACGCAAGTGCATAGTAATCGCTATGGCGTGAGGACACTTTAAATCTTAATGGCTTCTATCAATCAATCTATTACAATGAATATTTCGTATATATATGATACTAGGATATGGTAATACATTGTCACCTAGACGAAAATATGTTACCCCATGTTAATATTTGCACCTGATTGTGAGTTCGAGAAGAATAGATAATTGTTGTTCTATGTAGTCAGTTGACGTGTAGATTAAATACTAGGATTTAATCAATGGGTGTTTCTAGGTTTTACATATGACCTAACAAGATATTTCACTTCTATATTGTCACTCGGACCAGATAGTTTATAGATATTCCACAGGCATTCGAATTTTATGATCACCTAAGCTATGTAATAAGATATGCTTTTATTAAAAGCATTTTGTGTGGTCGGTTTTATATTAAATCAGGTTAATAAATACGTATAATTTCTCTGTATCTTAGTACTCTGGCTTACTTACGATGCTAGTATAAAATCTGAGCAGTTAAGAGTAGCATCATTTTTCTTTCTTGTAGATCTAACGATCTCATGCCATGAATTCAAGGTACTTTGTCGTATCATTTAGTGTTGTGTGCATGCATATTGCAAGATTTTATTTGAAATATAACACATTAGCAATTTTAAATTTTAAACAAGGCATTGCAACTCTGTAACACTTTAGTTCGAACGCCTCTGATCTTAAAAAAAATCATAACAAGGGTTTATTTCATGAAGTGATTGAATGTAAATTATTAAGAACCTAACGACTGGTTGACACCTGTATTGTATTGTATGTGGTGACTCGAACTAGCAGGTGAATACTACACAATATATAATGCAATCAAATAAAAATATACAATTCATATCAAAGTGTATGCGAAATACCAATGTGTTAAGATACCGATTTTGTAAAACATAAGTTATGGTGGTATTAATAATTGACAAAATTCTAACGAATATGAAAAAGCCCTGTATACCAAGATAACATTAGGCTTACATGCTTGTCTACTCACAAAAGACAGTCGCAAAGTGACATCACGCGGTCATTCTTGTGTCATTAGCCACAAGCAAATGCACTAGTTACAAGGTTGCAGTTTTTAGCATATACATGTATTGGAAAAATGGCCCTCATTTCTGTTATTAATTAGTTTCGCCTTCCTACAAGATGAAATAGTTCTCATTCATTTTAAAACACATGATTACAGGCTTCCATTCAGTCTATTCTTTCTCACAATGTCACCCAAGTAAGGACAGCGAGACGAGATTTGTACTCAAAGATTACCCATAATCCTCGACAAATCTGTAAAGCTCGACTTCTGAATTATGAAAAGTGTTTTACGTTATTTTGTTATTTATTCTGTAGAAATTCTCGCTCTGCCCTCAAATTGTTCAACAAAGGAAAGTTGGGGGTTTTGCTATTCAGTGATAAAAGTTTAAAAGAGAGTTAACTAGGACATAAAGTGGCTATGTTGTCCTTAGTAATACCATTGTCAACATCGCCCACAATTACACCATTATGCCCCTCATACGATACATTCTGTTTGGCATCGGAAATGGATTTACGCTTCTCTTCAACTCAGTGTTGTCGGAAGATTAGCCAGTGAATTGCTCTCTCTAATTTCTTAATCTCTTTAAAGAAATACAAGTTTTACATTCCTGGGAACGTTAATACTAGGTCCACAACACCTGTCGATTCATGTTTAGTTATGGAGTCGACGCTTGTAGCATACCAGCGTGGCGACCCTCTTCAATATCAAAGAGAAACATGTCTTTAACTAGTTTTTTCTATAAACAAATGATCATATGACGATCAGTGAAAGGCATGTATCCAAACGTTGTGTCTTTGATCAGAGGCTTATATCAAAAAATGATTCGAAAGTCGCAGATCTTCTGTACATGGTATAGAATGTTGTGTTTGCAAGTTACGCCTTTCACAAATATCTAGTGTAACTTTTAACAGAAAAATCAAAGAATGGGCAGGTATTCAAATGAAAAATTTATCAGGGCACCTGCCACTAAAACAAGTGATCAAATGGTATAATTCTATATCACCTTCACAATATACCTTATTCAGGTTTTTATCAATGTTCCTCGACATTGAAGGTAGTTACAGATCTAGGTAGTCAGCACTTCAGATGCAGTCCATAATAGTTTGACATAATGAAGATGGGTGCTCTGACGATTTTGCTCTGGTAACATAATCAAGCGGGATTTAAGACCTTTATCGGAGGCTGGACCAGTTTCACCTTCTCCCCATACTAGACGAATCCATAGCGATTATATAGTTCACTAGTACAGGATTTAATTTTACAAACAAAACCTGTTACTTTAAGTCTTAAATCAATATAGGAACCATTAAAACACGTCGTTTTTATATATTCGTTTACCAAGATTGTCATCTGTGTCAGAGTAGCTACCTACATTTCTATCCCTGTAGTGTTAAGAAAAAATTTAATCCGTTTTTAATTTTGAAAAAGTAATCGAAGGCGAGGCTTAATTTTCAGTTTCGAGAAAATAGTACAATTTTACAGGTCTTGCAGAAAATGCTATTTCCATTGAATATTTTAAGCTGAGAATTTCAAATTTATAAATTGTGATCGAACTGTAAATATAGTTCACAATTAAATCGATTGACATAAAATTCCGAATAGATAAATATTATAAACCTGTTGCAAGACCTTAATCTTTTTCTGTCTTGATTTCTACAGAATTTCAATTGATCGTGTTATTTTCAATCTTTAACATTTTAAAACCCTCATTCACTTTTATTGATTTTAGTATAAACAATACAATTTCAATCAACAACATATACAGAATTAGATTTCTGTCCGTTTAACGATTTTCATGAAAAATCAAGAAAAGTGATAGAATTAAATTTAGACACGAAATAGATTTATAACGAAAAAGGATTAAAAGTCCCATTATGAGATATTATTGACTGAAAGTTGAACCCTAAAATGCTGAATTTGTCACATTTTATTGAACTAAAAATCAATTGCACTTGTTTACGTGTATATAAAGGTATATTAGATTTGAAAGTTGATATACCAGCAAGTGTGTCTGACAATATAACTGACAGTCGTATAATAACACTTGTCAGCTTATAAAACCGTCATATTTCTCAACTCCTAGAGCTTTGAATGTTGAAATAACTGTTCTTAACGAACTGCACAAGTTTCAGATGCATTTTTCCGAGATAATTTATACAACTCAACAAAGAAAGACAATTAAAATTAAAATAGGCTTGTCCTTCTCAAATCTGTCAAAGCAAAAATAAATAATGAATCGTTATTTTGTGACGAGTGGAATATCTGTTTTGAAGGATGAGATTGTCTTTCCATTTATAATGATTATTGGAGATTATTGCATGCACAGAAGCAGCTAAGTGGAGATAACTCGTGTCTAACATAGAACAATAAGTGAGCAGTACAGCCATATCAATATCGTCCAATTCGAACGACAAATCCTTTCCAATAAATAATAACAAAATGATTTACGTCTTTTTATAGTGAAATCGGAGTCATTTGTATTTCAGGACAACTCTAATAAGTCTCTTTTTCTTGGATAAAGTTCTGAAAGTATGTTACCCTTTTTAAAATTATTATCAACATAGATGCGTTCCTTGAAATCAAGTCAAATGAAGTCAAATCTTATATCAAATAGGAAAACAGTGTGAGGTAAAAGTGAACCTGTATCTTCCTTCAAACGTTCATTGCCTAATAAAACAAAATCAGTTTGTACAATACATTATTGAAATAATCGACAAGTTCCAATTTATCTTTTATCTCTTACCGACAGGTCAAATATCTATTGTATTCTTCACGATTTAGCTACCTGCTTCGTGTACCAAACTACAGTTCGTCAATAGAAAATCGTGAACGTTTATTTGATATTCCATTATTTAACTATTGTAGTGAAATCGGTGGGGATCCTTGAAGACTTGTAAAATGTGAACTATGTTAAAAGCCGACTACGGGGGTTATTTAATTCCCCTCTTCCTCACGTCTAAAAACACGAGACCCGCCACCAGGTAAACAAACTCCTGTTAATTTTGTTTCTTTTTATTCTCACCACTGTAAATTAACACGATATCGTATTACTCGATGATAACAATGTTTTTTTACGGTACAGATCTGAATTTTTTCAAATATGAATTTGCAAGACGTGAATGTTGTGTTTCTTGGTGTGCACTTTTCGTACACAGAAAATGGACTTTTAATACTAATTGAAAAAAAAAGCGATGTTAGTAAGTCTTGGCACTAGTCTTAATCGACGTTGACAAATTAACACCCGAAAAAGAGAACTGTATTATGAGCATACAGCAGGAGTAAGGGTGGTTTTGGCAATTCGAAATTGACTTCAATACTTTATAATTCAAAAGCCAGAATCGGGCTGTATTCGTTTAACCATATATATATCCTAGAGGATAAGAATATAATATTTTGAAGCAGGTTGTGGGGCTTAAATTACAACAATATAGACTGAAAACTGTCCTAGGTGAACTCTAAATTGTATTTTTATTGTTACAAAGTATTGAATACTTGTCCAAGGGAAACCACAATCATAGGGACAGGTATGATAGCATTGTTCAGTGAGTAATAATAGTCTTTTGTTGTATGAGTCGATCCTTAAATTCGTTTCACCCTTTATATTTCTAAAACCGTATGTACTTTAGCTTATAAGATTAAAACAGGTGTTATTTAATGGAGCTATATTTATTTTGCATATCGAGGGTCTGGCTCCCTTTTACTCTTGCATATCGAGGGTCTGGCTCCCTTTTACTCTTGCATATCGAGGGTCTGGCTCCCTTTTACTCTTGCATATCGAGGGTCTGGCTCCCTTTTACTCTTGCATATCGAGGGTAAGGGGTTTGCTCTGTCCTCTCGGAACACGCATCAATCATTAGGCATCACTTTCATCTGGTTAGATAACATTCAAGAGATTCACATGAAGTGTCACCTATATTTATTCAAAATATGGTCAGTGATCTGCGGTTACGTTCAGGAGGAAGGGTAACAAATAATAGGTACGAACCCATCTAAAAGATCATGACTACATTCTTTTTAAATCTTAAGGAACGTAATCGACAAAGTTTCACAGTATTTTACGTCGCAAAATATTTTATTTCATGAAAAGTCTTTGTATATATTTTCTTTTCTTGTTAATGAGATCAAAAATACAATCTGGTAATTACCTATTTTCCAAGATTCATCACGAGTAACCTCCCTTAACATACATCAACACAACAAGCAGCTATAATTTTTAAAAGTACAATTGTTCTCTACATCATCATAAGGCTCATGGTATAAATCTGCCTACTGTAGTGTTTTACGGCAGGTGAAACAAATGTAAAATATAAAATGAAAGTAGAAGGTAACTATGACAGGTGATTTACTGACTATTAGAATCAATAATGTCATAAATTATATATCATTTAATTGTTCTGATAAACTCAAAGAATATGCAGTAGATAATGAGGAATTACTGAGGATTCCGATTATATTCAAGATAATCTTAGCTGAGACTCAGTTGTATGCTAGAGCGTTTACACCGCAAACCCTTACCGGCGCTCCCATATGAAATACAAAGAAAATCTTCACGAGACAGATGATCATCTGTTTGGAGGATCATATTATATCAATTATCATATAAGGGATATTATGAAGCTAATTTCTGCTACAGTCGGGTCTGTTTCTTCAGTGAATGCCAGACGTCAAACACCTTCCCGCGCTTTGCTATCACCTTGAAGACAAAACTTGCAGGGCGGGAAGTCGTCAAAGGAATGACTCGGGGCGCTTCCCTCACCCAGGTCAATGTAATTGTTGTAATCTATTAAAGAATGATAGAATAATATGAACGTTCCGCGCCATATTATCACCTGTCGTGAACTTGCAGGTTCTTTTCTACCTTTCAGACGACAACTTGTCCGTGCACCTGCCATCAGAATAACACTGTGTCACGCTCTCAACTATCATCATTGCCACGCGCCAAAGATGTCTCGTGTTTCTTTTATATTGGGGTGAATTCGGCGCGCGCCCAAACACTCAACAGTAATAGAGCGTATCACTAGATACGACAGGTGAAAAGTAGCCCAACAATGACAAAATTTAAAGCAAATCATAACATAATTGCAAGGTGGCCAGCTCTTTCTATAAGGTATGTTGAAAAACTGTCGGGGTGTTAAATTGAAAACACAATTAATGAAAACAAATATTGACTGGCGTATTTTAATGGTGACTGGTATTATACATTGAATAAATAATAGAGTATTCATTACATGTTATACAAAAACATAGATTTTAATAAAACAACTGATACGCTATGGAAGCATATCTTCCGCATGGCAAGAAATTTCTTGGAATAAGTTATAATTCCTCGTTGGATAACCATAAATAAAAATAAATTGGAGACAAATGGATTCAATACTGATATTCAAAATAAATAAGCAATAAATAACAAAAAAATGACTGAATTGGCACATAATAATCTTCTCCTTAGTCTAAGCATGAACGTTTATAGTTCTATGGTAGTCATCACCAATGACTTGATTTTTGATTCACTCGTTGTAAGACTTTAAACATCTATATCGTCTTTAACTATAACTTTTGATCCAGTTCGAGTCTTATCAAATGAAATGATTGCACAATACTCGAACATGTACAATTTAAAAGAACTTCCAGTTGAACATGGCTGCCTTCTTGAAAATTGCAACTATTAACACTTAACCTTGTAACAATATCCCATAGTAAAGCTGATCAACTAAGATAAGAACCAGATTTCTTTCAATGAGGGACAGGTCCACAACAACTATCTTCATGTTTCAATAACAGGGACATCCTAGAAAAAGTCTTACTGCATCCTCGACAACTATATTTCTTTATATCCGAATGCGTTTGAAGATGAGCTCTTAGATTAGACCTATCAGCGAATGCTCGACCACAATGTTGACAGCTGAATGGTTTCTCTCCAGTATGTGTTCTAATATGTCCCTGTAACAACCAAGGACGTGAAAACGCCTTGCCACAAAGTTTACATTTACATGGTAGAGTATGAGTTCTAATGTGCATCTTCAGAGCTCCTAGAGAGACGTACGTTTTATCACAATATTTACAGTTGAATTCCTTTTTAATTTGAGATGCACAGTGGAATTGTTTATGTTTTGATAAACCACTAAACGTTGAATAACTTTTCTTACAAGAATCACATTGATAACGTATTGGTTCATTTTCCTTGGATTTCTTTTTCTCTGGAAGATCAAGCTGCGACAGAACTCGCTCAGCTCCTACAGGATAATTTAACACGTTGTCAAATGGACTTTTCATTAACTTTTGTCCGAACTCAAAATCCATCCGTCTTTCATCGATAATCCTGTCATGTCTAGGCGGAGAGAAGTTCATTGGGTATCTCATTCCTGGTAAATAGGGCGGTGGAGGTGGGAGAAGCTGGGGTCCTTTGAATGCAGAGAGTTCGGAATAAGGTCTGAAACCGGTGGGAGAGTCTTGAGCAGGCTGAGGTAAGGGCGGAGATGGAAATCCATTCATGAATCTAAATGGTAAAAATGGATGGGAATGGATGTTTGGTATTAATGCTGGTTGCCATGGAAATGGATCATGGAATCGTGCTGGTTCCGGTGGACTGCAACTCGGACCGTCAACGGGACTAAGACTACTAGTACGTCTGTCGAAATCTGTGGGGGTGTGTGGAGATAAACGGCGATGACAATCGGGAGGTGAGGGTAGTGGTACGGACACTGGTATATGATGAGCTCGTTCTAAAACGTTTGGTGACAGTCGCAGGTGGCAGTCAGACGGCGACGGAAGCTGTAATGATATTGGAGCATGCAGTGGTCGTTCTATAATCGCATGAGGTGATAAACGTCTGTGGCAGTCGGTCGGAGTTGGAAGCTGTAAGGATGCACGCTGTGGCCGTTCTGCTATTGGTTTTACGACTGTTGGTTTGATGACTGTGGGTTCTGAAATTATAAAAAACAGAACAATGAAGACCTTTATGTATTAAAAAATGGAACACATTTTATGGTATGCTACTCCTGAGTTTTTATTGAACATTGTTTCAACAATTTACACTGTCAGCATCAGGTAAAAAAGAGAATCTTTAAAGGAGGCTGTTGACGTATTTTTGTCTGCTGTTTTTATGTAACAAATGATAATATTGTATCATTTAAAATTTATGAAAAACTGTTTGTTTGTCTAGTCAGTTGGCTGAGCATGGTTATGCAAAGTAGCAAATTATTGTTCATTTGATTCAAATTCTTCCCCACTTCACTGGCTATTGTATTTCAAATTCATAAAGCGAACAAATAAAGCGATGGTGAGAACAATGCTCTTTAAGATGTTTCCGCCGTTTTCGCACGCGTCGGGGTCACAAAAGTCTTGAAGTATTTCTAGAGAAGGGCGACAGGTGGTTTATTAGGGTACCGGCACGTGACCATAAACAGGTGAACGAACATTTTGTCAATTTTCATGAATTCCGTCCACTGAAATTTAAAGACGATTAACTGGACAAAGGTCATTTATTATTTGAATAGAAAACAATTTTCCGTAAAATTTGATTGTCGGTTCGTGGGATTTGTTCTGTTAACAATGGATTGGGAGTATAAAGGAATTTTAAAGAATTTCTGAATAATATTCTCTTGAAATATAATTAGCTATTATTTATGATAACAAGTGACATTAAATTCCGCTTTTTTTCCTCAACAGATTGTTGATCAGTCGAATTAAAAATGCATTATTCATATGAAATCTGAAAGGAGGCTTGGATGTTAAAGTAAATAGAAAATTATTATGTAAATTCCCATTGTCGTGTATTTTGTGTTTTTAAATATTTTTCAGATTCTATACCTATCTCATAATTTATTTCTACTGAATAGTATATTTTATTACTATAGCACCCTACAATTTATATATTGAGCACTACTGTAACAGTGAAAATATTTTGTTATTGTAAATGCATAGATAAGTAATTGACATTTTCATAATAAACCAGAAAAATGTGATTTAATTATTATGTTCATTATTACAATTTACTAGCAATAAACTAATAACAAATAAAATTTGTTTGTTATAATCTAATAAATGTTTATTTGTTTGTGAGTGTTAAACACCACCGTAATTTGTGAAAAACATTAATTATAAACATAAGAAATATATTATATTTCTTGAAAAAATATCTTCTATTCCTAGCAAAGTATCAATTTTCAGAGATAATAATAATATTTGATGTCTTCATTTGCAAATGAAATTATTAAAGCCTGTTAAAAATATGAAGGGTAATTCTTTGCTAAGGGATTTGATTCCATAGAAAATCGTCCATGATGTCATTACAGCATTCAAAAGTTTCATTATTGTAAAGTGCAGTACAGTGCACAATATTACCAACAATATTATCCGAGAAAAAAAAAAGAATATGCAAATAGAAAAGACATTTTCTTACCCCTGATGGTGTTTTTGTGAGATTCTGGGATCATATTAGGTGATATATGTCGGGGTATTTCTTCCACTATAACTTTCTGATTATTAATCATATCCTTGTAGATATTTTCTGATTGTTCCATTATCACATCATCAGTATCCGTCACATTAATAGTTTCTTCCTCATCGTCACACACATCGACTACATTAATAATTGTATTATTATTAGTTTCTGATACACTCTCTTCTGTTACAGCAGTACCCTCCATTATACCTCTATCACGTTTCTTAATTAAAAAGGCACGAGGCATCCTGTGTTTATTGCGGCATACACGTTTAAAAAATCTTTTGGATAATTTGCACCTCCTGATAGTTTCTGATTTTGCTTCACTTTAACTTTAACATGTGACTCTTGACAGAAATATTCACTGTATTAGATTATATTTAGTCTTGTGAGTTATAAATACCACTTCTTAACTCCAAACATTCTCATAAACAAGATCATTCATAATGTTTCAACCAATGAGAGAGCACGATTAGACTTCTCAAAGATATTCAGCCAATCGAAACCCATAAGATGGTTGGTGACTCCACCTACAAGGCGTGACCAGTTAGTAAACATAATGCAGCAGGTGTAATATTTGTACGCACTTTTGCCGCGGAAAGAAGGCCCTTGAAAATAATTAGGTACGCGTGGATGAAAGAAAATGAAAATGAATAATTTTTCGACTTAAGGAGAAAAACAATTTATAAAACTTCCTTGGTTAAAAGCGGCGATATCAATTTCAATCGAATTTTAAGGAATGTTATTTGAATATCAAACAATCTTTTATAAAGTTATTTCGCGGGAGCCTGAAAAACACTGCTTTAATCTTTTCAAAGACTCTGAAATTTTAGCAAATTTAAAACGATCATAAGCAGAAAATATTGGATCCTTTATTTTTTAAATTAAAATTTTGTTTTAAAATATTTCTCATGGTATAACTACATATTATTTTTCATATACTATTAACTTACTGATGTCACAAGGCATTTGATATTTCAGTGGTGGTTTTTTTCGGTGTCTTCAATTTATTTCAAAAATACTAATTTTGCCATTTTTTTTTCACATATACATGAAAATCAATTTTATAAAATGGTCATCATGTTTCGCTATATCTGTTTTTCAAATTCGGTTCTAGTAACTCTTCGTGTCCATGAGAAGATCAGGTGTAATCCAACGGACAATTTTTCAATCTGCATGTTTTTGCATATCAAAAGCTTATTTGGACAGAAGTTATTGTACGCATGTAGTATATCCATGAATATCTTTAATTTTAATACCATGCTCAAAACGCCAAGACAAATAATGTATGGTTTTAGTTACGTGTTTCATAGTTGGTCCGTTCGCCCTGAAACCTGTTCTTGTTCGCCCCTTTTCACGTTCGCCCTGGTTCGTTCGCCCGTATTTCATATTCGCCCCTGGTTCGTTCGCTGCTATTTCATATCCGCCCTGGGTTCGTTCGCTCTATTTAATATAATATTATATGATCATCTGTATAGTGATTCAACTTTCTCTATTACTCGAACAGCTATATATTACATTTTTCATTGTCTAAAATGTTACCGTGGATAAAAATGCAGATCGTGTTTTTTCATTTAAGCCATATGTATTTTTCTGAAATTGTGGTTTTAAGGTATATCGGATATCTTTTAGATGGACCTTTCCATGTCAGCATGACTGACAAATTCAGAAGATCTGATTGCGACCGCTACCGGAAGTGCAAGCTTGTAAGCTCTGATGATTCAATTTGTACCGAAGAAAACTATTATTAAAATACAAACTGTTTTAAGGTTATTGGTCTTGGTGAGCAAACCAAAAATAATATTTTGCAATAGCAAAAATAAGGCTTTAATGAATTTTAAGGTGATAAATATCTGCAAGAATAATACAAGACCTGGGTTCTATAGCATTGAGGAATCTGACAAACACATGTAAAGAATAAGTTGGACAAGTAACAAGTGATTACTAAGCTAAAATATGTTCATTTACCACCCGAACTGTTCTTCTTTTAATACAAGAACAACATGCGGTAATGAAAATATGTGTTAATGTAGCGTTGTAGAACTTATATTATACCATCCTAGTGGGTAAATATACAGTCTTTAACCTGGCTTTATCATCAATATCAATAGAAATATCATTCTAGACAGCTTCATTATATTAATCGGGCGTGAGACACTGGGCTTTGTTGATTCAACAGCTACTTAATGATATTACAATATGTTTTAAACAAATTTTATCCATGTTATGCTATGCGCTAATGTCGCGTGTCGCATGAATATCATTCATATAATGCATGTCCCGTCGCGAGCCTGATTATCTCAGCATATTGTAGATGACTTTCTTATGAACCATATAATTCCACTTTCTTATATTACGAAAACAATGAAATATTCATATCTTATGGTATGTATTGCATTGGTGTCCTTGAATCTCCATAGAAATATTCCTGTTGGCAGTTGAAATTGTATATTGATATGGACAATGCATTCACGAATGTCCGACAGAGTTTGGTATTCAGTAAGAAGTCAAGTTTAAAGAACAGTTACTTCGTTAGGTGTCATGGAACTTTCCATATCAGTTTGGAAAATATAGAAGATTTATTGACGTTGGAAGGATAACTTTCTTCTGACATTTCCTTGGTAATGATATTGATAGTGATGTGCTACTGCAGAATTATTGCCATTGGAATTCTAAGGGTGTATAAAAATTCTTCTGTGGGAATATAAAGAATACCGTAAGACGTACTTCAGTATGTAAACATTAGCTATTCTCAATATTGAGTCATTAAGCGATGATCACCAATTGTTGATGGCATCATTAACATATTGATGACAAATACAACAAACTGAATGTTATCAACGATATGTTTATAACTTATCATTTCAACCTTCAATTTGTTTGTGATAAATAACGAATCAACTGTAGTAAACAAACGAATTAAAATTTAATAAGATTAGTCACAGATTAAATGAATGATTACATGATCAGATTTAAATTATATTAGTTAATATATTAAAAGATTTATATATCCAAATGAAAGGAAATGAAAAACAAGCAGAAAATAGTGATGTGATTTGTGAGAGACCGTGAGAAACATCATAAATTGACCTCAAACAATAGAAAACTAATCAGCAGGGATCAACAGAAGAACGACATCGCGAGAAAAGTTAACAAAGTGCGAGTTTCATCTATTTTTGAGAGGATGAAGTCAATAGAGCTGAGACTGTAACCAAAGATTAACTTTATCGCTGGTCGTATTGACTTCTTCTAATCTTTTTATCTCCTGCAATGACAGCATGTAGTTTTTTCATTCTTCACATTCTCACAACTACCTCTTCTTTCAATTTGTACCGGAAATACTTTGATACATTCTAATATCTTTCTGTTTATTATTAATTTATGTTAATTTCTTGCAGGTTAGTAAATGATTCTGTAGTATTTTCAAACCAAATGTAAAAGTATCTTTCAAAACTTTTCGACTGTTTAAAATCTAAATGTGTAGTTTTGAGAACAAAAATTGGTTTATTGCACACTGCATGGCGTATTTTTCAAGCCCAAAGTAAAAGAAAAGTAAGTGGTACACAAATCTTTCCACATTCACTAAACTTGAATTGTGTCCAGTTAATTATAAGATATGCTTGAAATTGACGTGGGATATATGTTGTAAATATCGTATTAATGTATGGTTTAATATGGTTTAACGAGGTAAATATTTAAGAACTGAAAAGAGAATTCAATTATAAAAAAAATCATTTTTCCCAAGAATCATCAGATCGTTGGTAAAATACCCGACACCTGAGTAATATCGTTAGTGAAATGCCTGAAACCTTGATAATATCGTTGGTGAAATGCCTGAAACCTGAATAATATCGTTGGTAAAATGCCCGATACCTGAATAATATCGTTGGTGAAATACTTGAAACCTAAATAATATCGTTAGTGGAATGCCTGAAACCTTAATAACATCGTTGGTGAAATATCTGAATAATATCGTAGGTGAAATGCCTGAAACTTGAATAATATCGTTGGTGAAATGCCTGAATAATATCGTTGGTGAAATGCCTGAATAATATCGTTGGTGAAATGTCTGAAAAATTGAATAATATCGTTGGTAAAATGTCTGAAAACTTTACAGAATACAATACCTGTTGTCTTCAAGTATTGTTTGAAGTTCGTCAAAGATAGATCAGAGAGAAACAGGTCAAACAGACCGATTAGAATAATCCATAAAGCCAATCCAACAGATTAACGTTAATCCATGCCAGGTGAAAACAATAGCAAGTCTGTTTCCAGAATTCATCTCCACCCATCGCAATACAATGGCCAACTGTTCCAGAGTCGAATATCCTCCATGGAACAGTACTTGAATTCAATGATGAAAATCACTTTGGTTTGTTTATTTTCTACAAAGTAAGAATGTTACTTAAAGCCAAGTTAAAATCCAATATAACACAGGTATTCTGTGATCTTCAAAAATCTCTTTAAAAACCTTTTTACTGTTCTTCTATTTTTCATTGTCTCAGTGGACCATTTGGTATTACAATAAATTTAGGATTTAAATTCCACAAACCCGTTTGTATTTCGAAGCATTTTGATAACTCTCAATTAGAGATACATATTTCATATTCATACCTGTCTATAAACTTTTGACTGGTATTGCTCAATTGAAAAATGTAAGCTCGGGGAATTATCTTAAGAAAAGAGAGGCAATATCTGTAAAACTGCAAAAAAATGGATTTCCTGATAGTTTGAAAGAGTTGTATTCTTTGTATTGTCTGTATAAACAAACTCAACTTTCCTTGCATTTAATTTAACAAGATTTGTTAACAAGAGTTTCACTGATAGCCATAACTATACCAATTGTGTAGGCAACGAGGGGTGGGATATTGTCAGAATTAGTTCGTAAACCACTCCATGACATATTCAAATTCTAATTTGATTTATCAAAGATTCTTAATTTATTATTTATTACAATAGTTTGAATAAAATTTTAAAAGTTTATAAAATTTGAATATCAGAATATGGTATTTGATATGATACATGACCAGATCGTAAAACAATATGGCGATTTAAAAGAAATGTGGAAATGTCATCACGTCGTTAATACAATATAAGTATTTCACACTGTTAACAATATGGTAGTTGTTATACCTAACAATATACAGTTTTAACTGTTTATCTCTCTCACCTGTATCTTTCAACTAACTCATTAACAAACTCATTATACTATCACTATTAATTAGATTAAAATTAATTAAAACAATCAGTTTCTTGACAAACAATAGTGCCATTCAGAAAGTTTTGAACAGTAGGACATAAAACACGATTTACAACAAACAAACAAATAGCTTAGTAGTTTATTACTCATTAAGAAAAATTATTTTTCTACTTCGTTCACAGTACGATTTGTTATATTGCTTGCCATTTGTTTTGGAATGTCTTCGGGGCCATATAAATATATGGTTTGCTGATTTTACATTTGAAATAACAACTTGACTCTTTAGAAAATTCTTCATTTATAAAATCAGATATTCAAATAAAAAATTTTAAGTTGGCAGTTTCATCAATTCAAATAAAAATGGTATGCAAAGAGCGATTTTTTAACATTGTCGTCAACAGCAATACCTTACCGCTGAAGGATCGTCACATGCATAGTCTGTAGCACATTAAGGCTTCAGTCCCTTATTCCGAACGACAAGACGCCTTTTCAATTTTTACCCTCCAACTATAGCATCACGTAGAAGGGAGAATCTGATTCAAATATTTTCACGAAACCACATAATATTTAAAGGATGACATGCCTCATGGGTGTAATAGTTACAATATTGAAAATGCACGTGCATCATTGATATAAGTGTAATTAAAATATGTAAATTAGAACATATAACTTGTAACACCTTGTTAACTATATTGTGTGAAACTGTCATGAAAATTCCTGATTTACTTTTAAATAATTCAAATTATTATAATCCAAATCTTTACACGTACTAATACCACAGATTTACAGCATTGCACGTGCTTTAACTATAAATACAACAGATGACCCATTTGATTTTATGTAAGATCAAGGATAAAATCTCTGAAATATAAAATCTCTGAATACACACGAACAAACGGCTTAATATTGAAATTTAATGTTAAATCGCATCGACTGGAAATATAAAACCATTGATTTTTGTGATCTGAATTATATTGTGGTTTTTAGTAAGTCAGCAAGTAACAGGTGGACGGAGTCTATCAAAGCTTCCTGGAAATTATTTATTTTGGGTGTCGCTTCAATACCCAAGCCACAGTTTTATTTTTAAAATGAAAACGCATAACTTTGACAGTGTCCAAAGGGTTAAAAACCTCTGTTTACAATCATCACTGAGAGAGTTGAACAGAGCGACGGAAAATTATGTTAACTCACGTCTTATTATAAACCTCACAATAATACTTCAAGAAAACACTGTGTGTATACGCGATGTATGTGTTCGAGACGATGTTTTGTCAATATTCAATTCATCATCATACGAATTTTGAGACCTCTTCATTCTTGCTTGTGTACAGTGCAGGTCTTTTCGGGTTATATATACATGTACTTACAATCAGCGCATAAAATCAAGTTTTAGTTTAGTAGGTTTTTTTTAAGATTAATAGAAACTGCAGTTGCCTTAATGCTTTCGTAATTGAAATGTAATAAAACGGCACGAGTGCAACCTGTAACCAGAGGATTAACTGATTTTAAGGCAATTTAATCCTCAAATTTGACATATTTTCCACAGGTGGTTTAGTACAGTCTTAGAAAGGTACAAGTCCATAGTGTTGTTATTGTTCTTTATAATTCCTATATTTCTAATATAACAGTTGAATTCTATACTCTGGTCTTTAATCGGATCAGCTCAGGTAACACCTTGTTATATTTCAATCAATCATTTTATCACTATAATACGCTATTACCATCAACTATTCACAATCCAGCCACCAATCTCCAGCACCGTATTTATTTACATTCCTGAAAGATCAAAACGCTTGTAAAATAATCGAAAGTAATAAACCAGTTATACCAACTAATAAAAATCTAATATGCATTACATTTATTTACCTTTGAAACAGGTCAATATACATATTTAAAGCGATTAAATTCAAATATATAAAACAGAGAAAAAATATAAATAAAAATTTACTTTCGATTATGACTTTTGAACATGACGGGTCATTTTGGAGGAAAAGAAGCGAATGTATCTAATTGCATGATTATTATATCATTCTTATTCGGATTAATGAAAATCTTCATTCAATATTTTTTGGCATTACTTTATCGAGGTATAAGAGGAAAAAATATAACGCTCTACTACTTTAACAGAATATTTTAGAGGTATGTACATTTGTATCCTTAAACCAAGATGGAAGTAATTCAAGTGGAATTTCTAACGCTTCTAAATATGTCATTCTTAGATGTGTTCGAATAATACTTGCACATTTAGAGTCCCCAGAAATACCGCCGAAATTTCTTCACAGCGTTCCTGCAATTTATATCAAAGAAGGTATTAAAATGGCCACGATAGCATCAATGTACCAAATTAAAATAATATCACGCAAAAATATCACAAAATCAAAAAAATTGTACGAATTTCATCTGTTTCATTAATTAAAATCAATTATTTTCACTTTAAAATTCATCTTCAAAGCATCAAATTTATTTGTTGAATGCAAGTTGAGGAACGCCAAGGATAGCGTCAGTTTCCGTTATACATCTGGATCTAATGAGCGAAATGAATTAACATATTGTTTTCTTAATTCATCTAAAAAAAATTCACTATTCAAACAAAAGAGAATTGAACTGGGGCACTACAAATGAAATATTGCATTTAAAGAAATTTGATTGTTAATTGTATTTGAATATCATTGTAATGTGATTGTATGAATAATGAGATGAATTGGGTGATGAAAGATCATACACAATCATACATGATAATGATATAATCACTTGCTATGATCTTCGTATTCAACCAGCTGTCCTTAACCCTTACACCTCTTCTATTCATAACAGTGATGAAACGTGCCCCTAGGGTGCCACGCGACTACCATAAAGACGAGTTGAGAGTTATAACCGCATGGTTATGATATTCCGTCCCAATTAAAACATGGCTAATGATTTCACTGATAACATTGAGTGTGAGTTCTTCATGGCGTTGATAAGGAGTTATTAAGGAGCTGGTAGTCGACAAGTTGCTATGTGATAACACCGCTTTATCCCACTTCATTTATATGCTAATGTGACCATGTTATATATCTTACTAGAAGATAACTATAAACCTCTATCAAATATTATTTAAATCTTCACAAATTTTAAAGGAGTCAGTGCGAAAAATGTCCGTTAAAATTAAAAAAATCTGTAAATGTCATTCTAATTTGCTAATTAAAGATAACAAAATAAGGACATCTAAGTTACCATATAGGGCCTGAAAACTTCGTGTTTTGAAATAAGTGATAATCAACCCAGTCTTAAACTAAAATGTAAACTGTTATAAAAGTATAATTAAGTATCCGGAAAGGATGCTGAACAAATTCAATGACATCCGGTTTCCTGAAAGAGTCAAGAATGTCAAAGCTTTGCGTCTTGCCTTGAACACAAGGAGGGTAAGGGTAGTTAAAAAAAAGTAACAGGTATTTTTTGAACAATAGGCATTAGAGCAGAGTTAATACGATATAGTGTGCAGTTTTAATATTGCAAGCTCGTGTTTATTATGTTGATATAATTTTAAATGCTTGCCAATTATATATCTTAAATGTTTTTGAGAGACTGAGAAATGGGCCTCGATCAACTCTGATAAAAGTTCTAAAGCAATTAGGAGAAGAATTGATGCCCACTTACAGGAAGTGGAATTTAACTCAGGAAAATGGAACATTACTATAGTTGTTTCCTTGAATGAGAATGATATGGTGTAATGGTGTTCGGTAAGGGTAATTAAGATGGTTAATAACGTGTTTAACAAGTTGTATAAATAATAGCCTGGTTTCTTCACTTGTCAAGATCTCATTATAGATTACATGGTGATTAAACAACGACACTGATTATCTCCCTTGAATCTGATATCATTTGCATATCCTAGTCCTTTATAGTGATATATAAACATGTTGATAGTGGAGAGTATTTAACAGAAGTTGTAAATCTGATGAGATAAGCGAATGATATTAAGGATAAGCGATTTACTGTGTGGATGGTATAAGCTGGAATGATGCCGATAAATTATTATGGGTTCGTTATGTAAGACAGTTTTATTCTTCTAAATCATGGTATGGACATTGGTTGTCCCCAGTAAACACGAGTAAGAGGTCGCATGTGTTTAGTAATTCATGGGTCTGATCCAGTGCCTTTTGTGTAGATATAGAAATCCCCAGTAGACATGAGTAAGAGGTCGCAAGCAATTCATAGCACTGACCTTGTGCTGCTGTGACAACCTTCCCAACTCCACTAAGGAACATGTAGCCTACATGTATTCATTGAGCCACTGAGCATATTTAATACATTTGCCAAAGAAGATGCCATTGTTACTTGACATTACTGACTTTGTTATCATTGCAGGTAGTCTTGCTGTATCTTCTCATATTGGTCATCAAAATCCTTTATGAGGTCCGAAGTAAGTGATATTTGAAACTTTGTGAAAAACAGGATTGTACTCGTCTCTATCTTTCGTTTCGAACCAGAACAAACTGTTCTGTTAACTGTTAATTAACTTTGAACAATGTCGGATTTTTTATTCGATGAAAAAGCATGGACATATAAAGAAGGAAAACTCATAATCCATTTCCAATCCGTAATAAATAATATCAATATGGCGGCCTTCATATTGGGTGCATGTGAATTCTGACGAATCTGTGTGTCTTTCTTTTCTAGGATTTGACTCAATGATCAAATATGGAAAGCCATACTTTACCCACGGAACATCCGATTTACCACGAAATACAATCGTATCATTTGGAAAACCCAGGGCAAGGTGATCATGCGTTTCAGGTATATATTGACTTGTCAGAAACGCGAGGTTGGTACGGATTGAAATTGCATTATTGCAACGAACTTAATTGTGTTTTTCTTTCCGGAAAATCTCCGATAATTAAAGGAAGACAGATTGTTTTACCGGTCACAACAAATGAAACATTGAGTCAGAGGGATATGCAAAAGTACTTTGAACTTCTTGCAAAAGACGAAAGTGATATAAGGGAAATAACTCTTGCTCTGTGCGATGTGGACTCCACTTTGGTCTATTATAAAATTTCAAATCATATAGTTCGACCGGAAGATCCGATGGACACAGAATTAAAGAAGAAGAAAAAGTATGAACGATTTAGAAATGCTCAGTCGGATTTGCCACACTATGTGGATCAATACTATCACGAGCAAAAATAACATACTGAACCCACGGATTAGTGTATTAATAGGCTGTAGTCGATCATCGTTCTCGGCGAGTTACCTCCCATAGACAAATCTAAGCGAGTACAAATTTTCGTGCCCACGTTATTTCCTCCCCAGTCTTGTCACGCTTGTTTTACGTGTAATCTACTCAAGCCGTACAAGTTTTTCTATTCTTCGACTGAACTTTTTAATTACTTTCTTAATTAAGTTCTTAAATCCTTAGTCAGTCGTTACCAATGGATTGTAGACTACGTTCATCACTAGAATGGTATGGTTTCCATACTTCGCCTCGAAAAACTTTCCAGCTTTTTTAGTTTGCGAACATATTCCATATAATGATTTCATGGTCCTTTGCGGTTATAAATCTTAACATCATAATTAAGAGTAATGCCAAGTCAAAATGATTTTTTTTTGACACTTTACAGCAGACTCCCACAAAAGAGGTTTTTTCACTTTGGAACACGCGTAATATGCCAGGTTTTCGATGAAACGATGTTAAAGAAATGGTTTAGTACGAAATAGTCAGCAAGAGTAATAAAATAAACCTGCACATCCATGACCTTTTGGAAATATGTAGTGTGTTCTCGAAATAGCACAGTTGCGTGGCATTCATAATTAGCAATGAAATGTAATATAGTTTTCCAATATTCAATTTCTAGCTATCAAGACAACATCGACATGAATAGCCCTTATCACTCGTTTTTTTGTCTCTGTACAATTACAATAGAATACAATTCTTTTGGAAAAAGATAATTGCAGACGTCAATGCCACCACATTTTAACATATTAACCTTAACATTCACGAACATTGCTTTAACCCTCTGCCAGTGCCTTTTGTTGTATAGTAACTTGTTATCTTTCACTCTAATCTCTAAATAGACGATGCCAAAGAAGACTGTGGTATTGGATTCTCTGAGGAATGAATCTATATCGTGTACTCTCTCTTTATACGCAAATAAGTGATACATAAGGAGAGACGATACGCTTGACCTTGAAATTTGTTTTCGTGAAAATCAAGTGTTTCATTTCAGAACTTAAAAAATGGTATGACAAATTGAAAGCTATCATGAGTAAGATTCAAATGTTGTATTTCATTGAGCACAGTTTCCAACAAACATCTTTACGTAATATTAAATGTTCTCTTGTTTTAACCCATCAATTACGTAGTATTGAAAACAATTGCACACGAATTTTGTGTTTGTATTTCAACTAATATCGCTAATGGAGTAATATAGTAACTTTAACAAAGAATCAATTTTAATTTTTCAAGGTAAACTGGGTTGAAAGATCTGAAAGGTATTTTTCCGTGTCTTTGCTGGGATTAAACCCTGGATCTTTAGGTTAGCGAGCCGATTTATACCACAATAGGTTTGAACCCAACTAAAATCAGAGGCGCACACTGTTGCCCCGAATTATTGGACAAATTAAAGTATATTTTATCATTCCTATCTTAGATATTCCTCACAGAAGCTGTTCTTTTCTACTTTTCGACATCTTCCTCGTCATGATTTCTAATGTTTTGGACAAACACCGGCTGTTCTCAACCTATTGGTTATACTAGAGGGCACGTCATGTTTTTAAATCGTTTTATTCGGGAGAGACTTGAATCCTCACCCTGATTCTAACCAGTCCAATCTTCTGAAAACATTAACATTCAGGGTGACGTGGATCCCAACCGTTGTCATATGCCTGGCCCTACAACGTATTTATTCAGATTCAGAATCCCTACCTGGTTCTTAACCGGGCTAATTTTCTGAAAGCAGGAAATAAACATTCTAGGGGACGATTGACCGAAAATGACGCTACACTTGAATGAAAATGATGACCCAGAGTGTTAATATATAATTAACTTGTTATAGCATCACGAGCTGAATCATATCTATATAACCTCCAGCGATAGAAACCCAAAAACAGATTATGATGATACAAATATGGCGACTAACGTCAAATATCAACAAGTTAAGACTGTCGCCTCCAGACTTCTATCTGCGGCCCAAAGAAATCTTCTAATTTAAGAAAAAGATGAAAGAAAATCACGTAGAGTAAGAAGTATTTATGGTTAGTTTCCTTCAGGCACTTTCTATAGAATAATTCCTTTATTAGCTTAGGAACGAGAATGTAAACAAATTGTTAAAGAAATACTCGCTTCCCGTTTCACATTTACGCAATAAACGCGAAACAAGCTGCTTTCTTTATTATTATCTTTTAACAATGTAGATATAAACAATGGAAGATTTCAAGTTTGAAAAAACCATAATTGCTAAGTAAATTCACACATGTATCATTGTATGTGACGTCGTTTATCAGTATGTGCACCAGGTTTCAATAGTTTAAGGTTGGGGAAACCATGAAAGACAATATTCCTTAGTCATATTAAGGGAGGTCCGTCAGATGGCCAGACAGCCACGACTTTTTGATTGTCGGACATGAGACACTAGAGTTATATTAATGTTGAGGGATTCATGACGAATTTAGGATCAGATAGCACTACATGTTGCCTCATAGATGTTGTCTTACTTTCGCTGGGTAGGACAGGGAAATTATAAAGTTCTTGCTACCCACCAACACAGTTTTCGCCAATTTCTCACCAAAAAGTAATATTCATTCTCAGCTTTCGAAGAAATTAAAAATTAGAAAATATAATTGCCATGTACCTATCCTTATTGCAATCAACAACACCCACAAGCTGACAAAGTCGAGAAGATAGAAATGAACTGAGTTAAAATGTGACGTTTGGAATATTTCGATTATAGAAAGATGTAGAAATTCTTCTCTCATAAAGCACGAAAAAAACGAAGGACGTAGAGCTTCATCTGGGATATTTCTATTCTGAAATATTTTCTCTTTAAAACGAAGTATCCATGGACTACATCTGAAATTGTGTGAACACTATTCTGAGAATGAAATTTGTCGTTGATAATTGGTTGAAAATTGACATCCTCCGTGAAAACTGTGAGCTTTCAAATGAGCAGGTGTTCAAAAAACACAACCGGGCCGTTTTTTGTTTTTTTTTGCATTTGGCAAACACCTTTTGTTTGTGTTAAAAAGACAGCAAAACGAAATATTATTATTTTTCATAACAGTTTATGAAGGCATAATGAAATATAATAATATTAATTTCGTTATGATACAAAATATAAAAATAAACAGCTTAAATAATCAAGGCTTCAAAATATACAAATTATTAAAATTATTAATCCCGATATATTGAAGGAATTATAAATCTTAACTTATTTTACATAACATTTTTGATTAATATTGTCTTAATCATATAATCCATATAACATATATATAATTATTACATATCATTCCAATATAGTAGTTCATATATCCATGGTGCCTACCATAAAACTTTGGTATATAAATGTAATTAAATATATAGATTTATATAGCGAAAAACTTATAGTTCATTCATTAGCCACGTGAGCAAAAAATGTCACTTACGAAATGGGAGACACGATTTTAATCAAGCATATGTTCATGGAGATGTTGAAATATGTCTGTAGATTCACAAAAGAAAATTTAGGTGAATCATATCTTATAATCCTTCAAATGATGTTCATCTACGATATATAGCACTTTGAAATTACTACCAGCAAATGTCATTCGTGACAGTCTTGCCATTGTTGATGGATTACCCTAAAAACCCAAGCAATACATTTTGTTAATTGCGTGGAAGGTGAAGTACATGAGACTATTGGAAGTAATAAGCCAGATACTACGTCAAGTGATTCCGATTGTTCTTTGTCTTCTCATACAAATGTCAAGGATAGAAATCTGAATATTATAATAATCGATCTTATCAACCAACACGACAACTTTATGATATTGTCAATAATCTTCATGTCAGTGGGCTAATTTACCAAGTACGTGTCTTTCAAGAAATTCAACCTTTCAAACATGGTCAAAATTATGACATTAATAAAGTATTCTTCTTTTCAGTGGGCTGCCAAGTACTTGTCTTTAAAATCCACCCTCTTAAACATACTCTTATTGGCACTAGTTACTGTTCTACAGTTAATTTAAACAGGCGAAACAAGAGGGCGCAAGATCAGGTAAAATAGGCAAGATTTGGCTGAAGCTTCATTCTCTATTAGAACAGTTCGTCTCCACACATATTGTCAAAGAGAGAAAGAGATCACAACATATCAAGAGCTGAACAATAATCTTCTGAAAAGTTCCCAGTTCACATTTGATATCTATTAATGGCACTGACTGTCCTAAGAAACAAGGCCGAGCATGGATAATGCTGGAAGGACTAATACTGGGTGAGCATCACGTAGTTTAAAAGACCATTATGTTATTGCAGGATCGGGATTTCTGAGAATGCAGATGAAGGAATTTGCTGACGAATGCCATGACTTTCTTTGGTGATGATTTCTTATTTGAACAAGATTTATTGGAATGGCGGGAAGTAGTTTGAGATGGAGGACTCAGTTTTTGTCGAATCTGCTGTAAACTGGAAACAAGTAGTTCATCAACGTGGTGGTTTAATACTGCTGATGTTTCTAAGTAACCACATTCATATTTATCAGCAAATGTACGGGCAACTGTAAAAAAAACATAAAAAGTAACATTAAGTAAAATTTCGAATTTTAGATGTAACAAAAACATATCCAGTAATACAACAAAAGAATCTAATCAACAAATTCCATATTCTTTATCAAAAACATCGGATTAAATTTGTTTCAGACGAAGTGTCTGAGTAATTGCTTTCCTTAAACCTTTCAGAATGTAACAAAATGACAAAACCATTAGTCCGATGAATACTGTCAAGATCCTACTAGTATAAGTATTTAATAAACTAAAATTTTATATATATAACTAAACGTTCAAGAAGGTAGACGTATTTGGATGAATATACATATTATGAAAAGCATCCCAATTCTATATTTAGGGCATGTTTCCGGTCCATTTAATTTTTTTTCAGTATTCCAGTCAACCCGTGAACAAAATTACTTTAATTTAGTCTTACTGACTAAGAAAATATATCACAAGGATTGTCATCGCCTAGTAATAAGACGTCTGGATCAATAATAACATGACTAATGAGCAGCCAGACTGCGATGTTGCAATACATGGACAAAACAAATAATCAAGATCAATGAAAAGTGAATCATTGAAACTAAATATAGTTAGAGTTCCATAAATCGCCTGGTCACACTTAGTCACTTGAAGCCTAATGAAATGTTTTCGTATGCCTTCAGCTCAATATCAGACAACAATCATATTGGGTTTCATAATGACAGTATCACATAAGCCTTAACAGTGAATCATCCAATTCAGATAAAGGTACTATTTATAATCGATAAGAGTCATTAGCATTAACTTTTTAAAAATAATTCTAAATGGAGAACCTTGATTAAACTATATCAAGCTAAACATTCATATTTTTCCCGAATCTAAATATCTCTTCAAAAAGTGTGCTCTTTAAAATTTTAATGTCACAATTAATCGATTATCACAATTAAAAAATATAATTGCGTTTTATTCATCGTTAATTAGAACGAACTTGATTCTCAGTAATTAGTACGAAAAGCATCAGATGAAACAAAAAGGAGTAAATTTTAATGTTACTTAAAATAGACTTGCTAATAAGCATTGTGATTAACGATTCTATTTTAAAACGTTCAGATCGATAACTGTTATATTCAAACTAATATCAATTAGCGAACCATGGTAACGAATACTTTAATGATAATAATTAATAAGGTTTTCTCAGGTTATTCTCTGAAAATTGCTTGATGTTAATTGAAATCACAACCTGTAAGAACTAATTTCAGGACGGTGGTTATACAAAGCTTACTTTTTCAAAATGTTTTGGGGAAAATCTAACGAATTTGACAGTGCATCAGCCTATACACAAATACATGGTTTTGTCATTATCTTGCATTTTCAAAGCTTCAAGTAACAAAAACTTTCTCCTGTGTGGTAATGGTACCCCTACATAATAATATAACTAAGTTCAGCCATTGTAAACATTGGAACATTTCGCAAAACCGTTTACAGATGCCTTGATATTAGTAAAAGAAGGCTCAAGGGTCTTGTAGTGCTTTAACTAAAAATTGAAATAAATACTCACCATTTGCATTAACTTTTCGTTGTCTGACTAGATCTATTTTATTAGCTACCAATATAATGGCTCGGTCTGTTCCCATGTTAATTCGTAGATTCTGGACAATGTTCGTTGCAAGCATATACGAAGAATAGTCGGTGATTGAGAAGGCCACAATAAAAGCATCAATTTGGGAGTTTTCTATTTCCGAAATCTGCAATAAAATAGAAAATACAAATAAAATCTAACGGACATTACTCTGACAACTTAAAATAAAATAAGAAATTTCATTTATTTGAAAGATGTCGGGTATTAAATGAGAAATCTTAAGAATCTTTCAGTTTAGAAACCCCACAAAAACGAAATTGTCATGCGAATTCCCTATTTTGAGAATCTGGCATTTGACGAAGTAATTTATAAACTTCAGTATTGACAGACGAGATGTTCTAAAAGAATCCTATATAATATTATCAATAAGGCAATGTCCTATTCCATCATTGTCGATTTTTCTATTTCAGTAAGGAAAATCTCTCTCGCACGAATTCCCCAGCTTAAAGACTGATATAGACACGTAAGTATCTCGACTGAAATAACTTCTTAAAAGACATTATTAAGTATTTAGGATGCGGAATTGACAATCTAAATCGCAGAGAAGAACCAAGTGTTCCTGAAAAGTGAACATTTTTTGCATACCCGCCACAATATTTTAGTAGAACTTAATTTTTTGAAACGTACCTCTTGATTTTCCACAAATTCCATAATGGATTCCTCACCATTCAAAATCACAGATACCGTTTTATTTCCTTCATCATTTTCAACTAAAAAAGACAAAAAATTTCAATTACATTATTACAGTATATACGGTTTGGTAAGGTCACGATTTTAATTAGTTAATTTAAGAATTAAACAATGTGCATTGACGTAGATGGTTGGATTCAAACATAAAGACCTAAATAAATTGACAATTAACAGTTTCCAGATGCCATTTTCTTTAAACCAGTAGTTCAAATACAAACAAAAAGACTAGTAAAATCGATTTAGTTTCTTAATGTTTATATTAAAAGTAAACTAGACATTTCAAACAAGCCATTGCTGCCAGTTACAGTTTAGAGGGACGAAGGAGGAAGAAGAAATTTGGGCATGTGCCAGTTCGGAGAAATTTCTAGTACACTCTCTAACCCTAAAAAAAAAAACAAAAAATCCAAAGCAAAAACATTCTATGCTCAAGGGTTGCAACCGTATTATGGTCATAAATTTTATATGACTATGACGACAGCAAATACAAAGCAAGTATGACTAATGACATGATAAGAGATATGATGTCAATACAGCCGCGGTATCAAATAGTTGAGCCATTGCTATGACTCACCAGGGACGGGACCAACATATCCTAATAATGCCCTCTAAGCCCCTGGATAAGAGCTTCTTAATGCATCACAATATGCCATACAATGCGATAGCTAAAGATAAAAATGACACTTACCGTTGATATTATCATAACCAACATAATCAGATGTAAGAAACTGTCTGGACAAACTGGACTTTCCAACACCAGAACTACCAATCATTGCAACAGTGAAGTAAGAGGGAGCCCAAGAGACAGGACGACTGGTATGGTCATCACAATCTGTAGTGGTGTATGATGGAGGTGGTATACGATCAGTGACTGTATTCCCAGAAGACATCAAATTATTACTACCACATTCTTTTAAACAATCACCACGATTTTCCACTACACCCTTCGATGTAGTTTTGAAAGACCGCACTCTGCAAAATGTTGGAATCACCGATTGCTTGTTTACTTGGACATGTTCCACTGCACAGGTCGGCATACTGTTAGTTCTTTGTCTTGTTTGAATCACGTCCAATGATGATGATTTGAACGATCCAGATCTGGAATGAGGTGCTGAGGCTACCACTCTTGCTGGAGAAATATTTAAAAACTCTGGCATTTTGATTAGGCACTAAGTGAACTATAAAATGGTAAACAGATAAAAAATCTTGAATTTAAAATCGTCTATAAGTGAACGCTCATTGTCTAACACAGTTGATATCTAACCGGCTAGGAAATCGAAGGCTTTTATATAGTCGAGTGGGAATCACGTATTGAATGTTGGCGAATGACGTTATAACCATTCTCACGATCCGATTGGCTGGTTATTGTCAACGATTGACACATAATGCACTGTATATATTTTCATTATGTCATAATTAAGGAGTAGCTTATGATTGTTGGGATTCTTTTTTTATTACCTTTTTCTTGTTATTTTCTAGGTCTGAAGATGACATAATATATAATATATATCATTTTGTAGACTACCGCGATGATCGAGAATAGAACAAATAACATTTAACACGTTACCAGTCTTTCGTGTTTGAGGCTATGAGTATGCACTAGTTCCCTGATTTCAACAAGAATGCCAAACCCTTGCGCATTAATTCTCAAACAATGCGCCCTTATTATACCTGTCCAAAGGAGTGCATTGTGTATTGTGCATGCAATGATTTATCGACTGAGTCATGGAAAGTCATGAGCATAATATTGATACGAAGTTATCAACATACATCAATTTAAAATGCCAAATGCTAAGCATAGTGTGATAGGGGGTCAGAATACGAGCCCTAAAAAGAACATTGGGGTAAGGGAGTGGCTAAATCACAAGAGAAGTAGATTGTTGATTGTAATCTACGCTGTGTGTCATTGGATTAGAAATGCGCTGGTCAATAAAGCTTTCTTGTTACCACAAGAGCTTAAAGCAAGGGACCCTAACATTACCCGTCATGATCCCCAACTCTGATTGTACTTGTGAATCACGAATGAATAACAATATTGACATAAGTATGAGTAACAATTATAAATCAACACTTTTATTGATTTCAAATGTTTAAAATATCTGAAAGTTAAATCATAATATATTTAATTAATAAATTATGAGGTATTGTGTACAAGCTGATCAGGTGTTTGCAAACAAGAAAAGTAAGTATATGAACTCATAGTCCGAGACATCTGTCTCTATTCCAGCCTCTGATGGATATTTTGATAGTGTTGTCGGCTTGAGTCAGAAAATATAGACCCTGTTAAATGAGAGGATGTGTGAAGTCTCCACTTAAACGGGCTATTTTTCATTCTGACATATATCCAAATAGCTATCAGAGACCGGCATATAGATAAATGTTTCGGTCTAATGAACTCAATGACACGATGCTAAAACTAGAGCTGTAAGAACATAGTAATTAATATGCTAAGCCCATAACAAGATCAGTTATAATGATAAAAGGTACCAACAATACATAACAACTAGAAGAAAGGATGTAATAACTGTGTCATTCAGGTACACTGTATAGTGTTGTTGGCACTCAATGCACTCTACTCATCAGTACATGTATGATTCTATAGGTTATGTTATGCCATTCATCATACTTATATTGTAAGAGCAATCATTAATGAAAATTGTGTAAAATGAAAGTAATAATTCGTCTATAATACAACATGTACTTAACGATATTTGACATTCAAGGCATTGTACCAAAATTGAGAAAGTTTTGCAATATGGGGTAATGTGATGGTTGATAACGATAGTTGTATACTAGTAAGAAATCTCCAAATTATTTTACATGAAATATGTGAAATATTGTAAATATTCAGAAAGTTGTCACAATTGTTTTTGTTTATGGACGCAGCAAATTCAATAATAGCAGGAAGCCCATTTTCAGTGGTGTTTCTCTGAATCATTAGGTGAAGTAGGACGACAGAATTGTACAGGCGGAGAATGGGGGCTCCTAGGCGATAGTTTCCCCATTTATAATGATAAGAAATTTAAAGGTGGGTGGTGGGGGAGTTTTTCTCGTAGCTTGGACATCGTCTTTTCTGGCGGGGGAGGGGGACCCAAAAAACCACAGTAGAAAAGCGATTCGTAACAGGCTCTAATGACACTTGATGACACTGATCTATATCAGTTTTGCCTACTTCTACAATGTAGGTAACTTCACCCGGTTTATTGCTTTATTGCATGAAATTGGTTTCTTTTTGTAGCGTCATAAAAATGATGAAAATAGATGTTGACGATATTATATATCTCGGTTCTGCGTTTCTTATCGTTATGAAAAATTTTACAGACTCATGATTAAATTTTTTTTCGATTTACCTGGAGTATTTTTAGTAGGTCAATGTAAATAAAAAAAATAAGCTTTCAATGTAACTATAGATAAAGAATCTATTTTCCACAAAATTAAATTGCATACCTTCGATGACTTGTGCTCCACGGGCAATATACAAGTCACTGAATATGAATTATAAAATAAAATATAATAGAATTCCATGTCCGATTGGTCATGCCTGGTGTGATCCAAATAAGATTTCCATGCTTTATTTATCGTGCACGATGTGACCCGTAATAAGTTACCGTATTTGATGTATATTGCACGAAATGGCCTATGGGAATATACCATACTAGATTTACATGACTTGTCTTGCAAGATGTCAGACATAGTAGGCTTTCTTATTAGATTTATCTTGCACGACGTGGCCCCGTAATAAGTTTCCAGGCTTCATCCGTGAATGATGTTACTTCTTCATTAATTAGTTTTATGAATTTTCCAAAAATACCACCTTAGGAGTAATTTTTTAAATTTTATGATGATCATGATACAGGGCTATCAAATATTGTGTTGAATATAGAAAAACCTACAGGTTAAGTTTGGTCGGTAATAAAACTAAGCAAACAGCGAGAGTGGGCCATTCACCACTCATGTCACGTTAATTGTTCAACATGAAGTTCATTGTCTCTTAAGATTATGATCCTGTAATATTATTGCAATCAATAGACTCGAGTTTACTTTTGGATCAAATCATTTATAAATAACTTGCAACCATCTGGAATGGACCAGTAATCTCCCACAAACGCTTCCACAATTAACAAATATAAACCTTTCTAAGTATACCATTTATGATCTTTATGACTTTCTGAAGAGTTTCCACTATTTGGTATCATGTTAAATAGTATTATATTTATGGAAGGTTTAAAGCTATATCTATGTTTCTCATAGTCGTGGGTTAACTGATAATAAAAATTAAAAATTAGAATAGCTCTTGAACATGGACAAGTAGCATAAAGTATTGCACGAAAACTGGTCTAAGGTCTAAAACAACAATTACAAATTGCAACTTTGTATAGTTTCAAGTCATCAAACAAAACCGCTCAGCAACACAAGCCGATAATATCTATACATGTATTATGCTCGCACTGTCAGCATTGTATATAATTACACCGATGTATTAATGTCGATGGGTTGAATAACTAATTTGAAATTTATAAACATGAAATTAGAATAATGTTTTGCATATGAATTTAATTACAGTCCGTGTTTAATCTATGTACGCTGAATGGAATGAGAAAAGAATGATTATATTAAATTACCCAGTTTCGAAAATAATGCCCTAGACGCAAACAATGATATTGTTCAGTCGAACTCACCCACCCTCGTACTCACAGCTTTTACCCAGCATACAGGTAGAACTCTATTTTAGATCTATCTCCTACTATTGAGTCCTGGATAGTCACTGGATCTTTCATTGGTCAATCAGAATAATAGTCCATGCTATGGAAAGCTTACAAAATCTCGGGTATTTTAATCTCTTGCTCCCATTCTTAATTTCATATGATTTAATCTCTTTATCTCTGGCTTAAACCATTTTCCAACGATTCAATGTATGCAATACCCAGAAACGTCAATGGATCTATATACATTAAGATCCAGAGCCATATGGATCCCTGAAAGCAGTAAGAGCTATGTTTTTAGATTGGGTTTGACACTGTATAGTGTGGTGCTTTAGGCAGCTCTAGCAGGCAACTTGATTGACGCAATTGTCTTGCTTGCCTTGCAGGACTTTTATTTTCAATAGCTAACTTGATCTGAATTGTAATTTACGGAATGGACCTAAAGGAAGTACATGCACTAAGGATAAACTTTTCTGTGAATGTCTGTGTTAATTAACTGCTAAAAAACTCCAGAACAAAACAAAACAAATGCACCTATTTCTCTCTACACTTGGTAACTCAGTTCAAGGTATCTTTGGTAATCGTTGTACCATCTGGTGGTATGTTTAACCTATATTCGCTCAGAAATGAAATCATATTTTACTGAATGGCACGAGTAATAACTAAAGGGTATCTTATTATTCATAAATTTATTCCTCTAGGTATTCTTTACTATTTCTATATGCTAATCCCCATAGCCGCAATAAATCTAACCAGGAGTGGGCTTGAGTTAGTCTGTCATAAACTGGTATATCGAATGTCTAGAGAATCAGCAAATGTGAGGAATTTCCTATTGAATTACGTATGTACACGAAATTAATTAATTTACACTCAGACACATACACAATATTTTCAAGGTTTTCTGTATAGGTAATATTCTATATACGGCACTTGTCAACGATGGGCGCTCTTATATTAAGGAAGTGGGAATGCGCAAATATTCAAATTGTGACAAGTTCTTCGACATACAGCGTTTTTTTCTTCTTACATTATTTATGGCTTTATGACGTTCATCAAAACCATCCTATATTTATCAATCTCATGCCCGTAGCCAGACGTAATTGTTTGGGGGGGGGGGGGGGAGTGATATATTCGGAGGGGCAATGAGGGAGTGGGGGTGGTCGATTGCAGAAAGGGGTGAAATATTCAACTAAGATGTCCTAGAGCATCGAACCGTTACTATCACGTTTTCGAATAAAAAAAAGCCAAAACAATTAATGAATTAACTTAAGTTCCATAGAACTGCAAACTGCTTTATTCTTCAACAATGATAATTCTTGAATTAAATTCGTGACACACTTTAGACAAGGAAAGTGAAAGCTACGGGCCTGCTCATGACTTGGATATATATTGAATTCTTAAAATCGTGTAGCATCTTAAAACACGGTGGAACCATACTGACTTTAAGATATTGCGTAAAGAACTAGAGAAGAATAAACTTTATTCGTCTGGTTATGTCATAGTATTATCTGTATTATACAAACAATAGTTTAACTCTCCTA